TGTGTCTGACATTGTAAGGCACGGTGGCGCTGTGTCCCAGCGTGGCTCTGCCATTTTGCCACCTCCCTGTGCCGGGGCTCCGCGTCTTTCTGAGCACTTGGTGTTATGTCTTTAGTTTCAGCTGTCCTGGTGACTGTGTGCTTGTCTTTGTGATCCTAACTTGCGTTTGCCTATTGATTCCTGTGCTTGTTAGCCATTCTTGTATCTTTTATCTCTTGCCCATTTAAAAAATTTTGTTTTATTATTGTACTCCAGGAGTTTTGTTTTGGTTTCAGATCTTCTGGGTACAGTGCTAAAGCAGATGGGTGTTATTAAAATAGTTTCTCCCTGTCTGTGGATTATTGTTTGCATTTGCCTAGCAGTTCTGAGCAACAAAAGATTTTAAGGCTGGTGTAGTTGAATTGATCAGGTTTTTCATGCTGTGTGTGTGTAGTATCTAGTAAATTTTTTGCCTAACCCAAAGTCACAGAGAGGTCCTCCAGTGCATTTTTATACATGGTGTAATAAAAGGCTCCAGCTTGGGGTGAATTTTGTTTGTTGATATCAGTTGCTGGAGCATCCATTTTCATGACTTCTTTTCCCCATTGATGTATTTGACTTCCTCGTTAGAATCCATGGACCTGAGCTGACATTGGGGCTCAGCAGGTGGGCCACCACCTTCAGTGCCAGCTGGCACCGGTTCAAGTCCTGGCTGCTCCACTTCCCATCTAGCTCTGTGCTAATGTGGAAGATAGCCTAGATCCTCGGGCCCCCTGGACCTATGTGGGTGACTCGGATGGGGTTCCAGGCTCCCGGCTTCGGCCTGGATTACCCCCGCCATTGTGGCCATTTGGGAAGTGAATTAGCCGATGGAAAATTGATCTCTCAAGTCTCTCCCTCTCTATAACTCTGCCATTCTTTAAAAGCAAGCAAACAAAAACAGTGGGCTGTATCTGTGAGGGTCTATTTGTGTATTCTCTTCTCTCTTCCATTTATCCTTGTCTGTGCTCAATGCCTTTCTAACTTAATGAGTGTAGCTTCTGTACTTTGTCTTGGAATCATGTAATGATGATACTGCTTTTCCTTTTCATTTAAATTTCTAATGATTCATTGCTAGTACATAGAGCTAGCATTGATTTGGGGGGGGGGGTGTCAGCTTTGTATCTGGCAGCCTTGCTAAACCATTTATTCTGGTAGGATTTTTGTGAATTCCTTAGGATTTTCTACATGGACAGCCATAGCATCTGTGAACAAAGTTTTACTTCTTGTCCAGCTGTGCTCGTTTTTTCTTTTTCTGAGTTACTGCACTGACCTTTCTCCCTCTGGATCAGTGCTGAGTAGAGCAGATGAGAGCAGGCGTTGGGGTGCAGCAGTGTTAAACCACCACTGGGACACTGCACTCTGCTTCAGACTGCTGGTTCGAGTCCCAGCTGCTCTACTTCTGCTCCAGCTTCCTGGGAGGCAACGGGTGATAGCTCAAGGACTTGGGTCTCTGCCAGCCATGGGGGAGATCCCAGTGGAGTTTCAGTCTCCTCACTCCAGCTTGTCCCAGCCTTCCCTGGCTGTGGTAGGCATTGGGAGAGTGATCCAGCTGAGAGAAGATAGCACGTACTCTGTCTCTTTGCCTTCATGTAGGTTAAAAACAAGCCAAAAAAATAAAATAAATGTGGTGCGAGTGCAATCTTTATCTTATTCAGATGGAAGTGTTCTGGCCTTACCACTAAGTATGATGTTCACTGTAGGGTTTTTAAAACGTCCTTTATCAGGCTGAGGAATTTCTTTTCTGTTCCTAGTGTTTGGAGAGTCTTATCATGAACAGAAGTTGAATTTTGCTAAGTTTGCTGATAATCATTAATTTGTGAGCTTTATCATAGTCTCCTTCCTTCCTTCCTTCCTTCCTTCCTTCCTTCCTTCCCTCCTTCCCTCCTTCCCTCCTTCCCTCCTTCCCTCCTTCCCTCCTTCCCTCCGACAATGAGAGAGGTCTTCCTTTTCCATTGGTTCACCCCCCAATGGCCACTGCGGCCGGCGCACCACGCTGATCCAAAGCTAGGAGCCAGGTTCTTCTCCTGGTCTCCCATGGGGTGCAGGGCCCAAGCACTTGGGCCATCCTCCACTCCCGGGCCACAGCAGAGAGCTGGACAGGAAGAGGAGCAACCGGGACAGAATCCAGGGCCCCGACCGGGACTAGAACCCGGTGTGCCGGCGCCGCAAGGCGGAGGATTAGCCTAGTGAGCCGCGGCACCGGCCTATCATAGTCTTTTAATTGAAATAACTTTTTTTGAATGCTAAGCTAACTTAACTTTGTACTTCTGGGACAGACCCAATTGGTTGTAATACATTTGTCTTTTTTGTATAATCGTGGATGCACTTTATAGACAGTTTTGTTCAAGAGTCTGTATCTGTGTCCTGACGGTTGTTGATCTGTATTTTCCCGACGTCTTGTTTTATGATTGGGCATCACTAGCCTCATGAAACAGGCTCCTGCCTCCTCTGCTGCTTCCCTCAGAGTGGGTGGAAAAGCTGGTGTTATTTCTTAAGTTGACGCCATTCACCACTGAAGCTGGGTGTGGGGCTTTTCCTCAGTGTCTTTAACGGACCAAGGCAGAGTAAGGCTGTTGAGGCTGTTTATGTGTTCTTGAGGGAGTTGGGGTGGTTGGCATGGTCTGATGGAATGTCTCCGCTTCTTCTAACATGATGGACTCAGCGCAGTTCAGGCCATTACCCTCAGTGTCTGGGCGACCTGTGGTTTATGACACTGGTGTTCCATAGCATTTCTTTCGTTCTTGATCCACCTAGCTCAAGTTTTATTGAGATTGTTGGCCTTTGCAAGGACCTACCTTTTACTTTTTATCGATTTTTCTTGTTTTCTATTTCAATGATTTCTGTTCTTTATTTACTTCTTCCTGCATGATTTTTATTTGTTTTTCTAGTTTCTTAGGGCAGTAGCTTAGATGACTGATTTGAGATCTTGTAGGTATTTAATGTTAGATATTTTGCTCTAAGCACTGCTCTAGCTTTATCCTACGTATTTTTATATATAGTATTTTAATTTTTATTCAGTTCCAAATGTTTTCTAGTTTTCTTGATATTTCTTTTTTGATTCATGGGTTATATTTAGAAGGATTTTTTATAACAATTTTTAAATATTTGGGGTTTTTCCAGATATCTTTGTATCTGGTTTCTATTATTCCTGTGTTCAGAGAGCATAACAAGGCAGGCATTTGGCACAGGGGTTAAGATGCCTTATTTTATTTTATTATTTTATTTTATTTTTTTGAGATGCAGAGTTGTAGAGAGGGAGAGACAGAGAGGTCTTCCATCTACTGATTCACTCCCCAAATGGCTGCAACAGCCAGAGCTGCGCTGATCTGAAGCCAGGAGCTTCTTCCGGGTCTCCCTTGCAGGTGCAGGGGTCCAAGCACTGGGGCCATCTTCCACTGCTTTCCTAGACCACATCAGAGAGCTGGATCATAAGAGGAGCAGATAGGACAGGAGCTAGCGCCTGTATGGGATGCCGGTGCCTCAGAGGCTTAGCATAGCACACCACAGTGCTGGCCCCTCTTTCTATGATTTAATTCTCTTAAACTTGAGACTTGTTTTATGCCACAGAATGTGTAGATCTTAGGTTCAGTTTTGCTTGCTGCCAGGGAATGGGTCCATCCCATTTGTGCAGTGTCCTGCTACTCCCAGGCGGCTGTGCTGCCTATGTTGGGTAGGTCCAGTTGGTTGATGTTTTCCAAGTTTTCTATATGCTTGCTGACTTACTGAGTGAAGAGTGTTGGTATCTTGAATGGTAATTTTAAGAATTATATTATTTCAGCCAGCGCCGCGGCTCACTAGGCACCTCAGATTCTAGTCCCGATTGGGGCACCGGATTCTGTCCTGGTTGCTCCTCTTCCTGTCCAGCTCTCTGCTGTGGCCCCGGAGTGCAGTGGAGGATGGCCCAAGTGCTTGGGCCCTGCACCCGCATGGGAGACCAGGAGAAGCACCTGGCTCTTGGCTTCGGATTGGCATAGCTCCAGCCATGGTGGCCATCTGGGGGTGAACCAGTGGAAGGAAGATCTTTCTCTCTGTCTCTGTCTCAGTGTCTAACTCTGCCTGTCAAAAAAAAAAAAAAAAAAGAATTATATTATTTCAGAGTTGAAGTAGAACATTGTGGTGTTATGACTGGGAGCTGTGGAGTGTAATTAGAAAGCATTTGCTCTAAGGAAGGGGAGTTCCTTGCTCTCCAGAATCCCAGACGTGGACTCCAGCAACCCCCTGGACCCGTTTCCTCTCTGGATCCTCTACCTAGATTGTGGCAGCTCAGTGAGGTGCGCATGAGCTGTGAAGCTCTCAACAGGGTAATATTCTTAAATTTTTTTTCTTAAGCTTTTTTTTTAAGATTTGTATTTATTTTTTGAGAAGCAGAGCTAGAGAGAGGCAGAGACAGAGAGATCTGATTCACTCCCCAAATGGCGACATATGGACCATGCCAGGATGAAGCCAGGAGTCTGGAACGCCACTGGATCTCCTACGTGGGTGCCAGGGACCCAAGCACTGGGGCCCCCGCCTGCTGGTTCCCCAGGTGTGTTGAAGGGAGCTGGTCAGCATGAGGAGCTAGGACTGGGACTGGTACCCAGATACGGACGCCAGCGCTGCAGGTGGCAGCTGAACCTGCTGAGCCCTGACAGCCTTTGTGTTTTGTTTGTTTTTTAAGCCTGCAGACTAGAACATTACATAAGTATTATCTGGTCATTTCCATGTGGTAACGCTTTTTTACTTTCCCCTTGGCCTGCCTCCGAGCTCTGTTTGTACATCTGTTCTGTGTGCCTAGTTTTTGTTGACCACATCTTCAGAGTCCTGAGTACAGATTACTTGGGATGTGTTGTGAGATGCTTTTTGTTCTTGACATAATTTTGTCTACCTTGCAAGATAGTATTGAGAAGATAAGCGTGTATGTGCACTGGACGCACTTCCAGCAGCTGAAAAATTACCCCGTATGCCTTGACTGCCTGACTCAGAGAGCTTCTTTCTTTCAGATAAACCGGGAAAGCTGGTGTTCACTAGAGCCGTGCCCTGATGCAGCACCTCTGTTGGCTTCTAAGCAGGGTGCAGGTAAGCAGAGGTCTGCCATCTTCCACTGTGCTTGAACAGCTGTATCAAAATTGTCTATTTGCTGGAGCCGCAGTACCATTCTAATAGCAGCTTGTTTCACTTGGGCATCTGCCCGCCCTTTACGTGGTGACCATTAAGCAGAGGAAGGGTCTGATTTGGTCACAAGGATTTGGGTCACAGTTGAAGCTGAGCCCTGGGACTAGTTTTGTTCTGGTGGCCGCATGGCTTCTTAGTTCACTTGTGAAAGCATGTGTGCTGTGCCTGCGCGTACAGTGTAGTGTTCAGAATCTGATAAAGCTGTCGTAGATGTATGTTTTGCTAATAGGTTGTTCTGTTCTTCCCCAGCCAGATTTGAACGTTGTATTTATTTATTTATTCATTTAAAAGGCAGGGAGAGAGAGATTAGAGACGGAGCGGTGCTGCCTTCTAATGGTTTCACTGCCCAGATGGTTGGAGCTGGCTGTCCGCGTGGGTTGAGAGTGTGGCAGGAACCCAGTTACTTAAGTACCGCTGCTACCTCCTAGGATCTGCAGTGGCAGGAAGCTGCAGTCGGGAGCCGTAGCCCAGGTACTCTGATATGGCATGCAGGTGTTTTAACCGATGCCTTAACTGCTGGGCTATGGGTTTGCCCCACATAAGTGTCAAATGACTAGATAGCATCTGAAAAATTACACGATGTGGGGCAGTGTTGTGGTGCTGCCTCCTGTACTCTGGCTTCGCATATGAGTGCTGCTTCAAGTTCTGGGTGCTCCACTTCCCAGTCAGCTCGCTGCTGATGCTCCTGGGAAAGCAGTAGAAGGTGGCCCATGTGCTTGGGTCCCTGCCACCCATGATGGGGAAGACCTAGATGGAGTTAGGTTCTTGGCTTTGGCCTGACTCAGCCCCAGCTGTTGTGGCCATTTCTGGAGTAAACCAATGGATGGTTCACTGTGTCTCTCCATCTCACTCTGTAATTTTGCCTTTATATTTTATAATGTGTGTGTGTGTGTTTATATAGTGTTTTTAAAAAGCTAATGGCTCAGTGTACAACAATTATAGAGAGATTCATGTTACCCAGAATGGCTACTTAGAGGTTATTGTCTTTGCACAAAGAATTTGGGCATTCTACAGAGAGTAGCCAGTAAGTGAGGTAGCCACGTTTAATGAAGAGATTACTACATGGGCATTTCAGTGGAGAACTGAGAACAGTCTATATTCAGACTGCAGTGTGCATGGATATGGGTGAGAGCCCTGCATTTCTGCTCCCACTTCCTCTCTGGGATATGGCTGGGTGGAGGTCTTCCTGGTCTTTATCTTCTTGAGTCTCCTTCCAGAACTTTATAATGGACCTACTAGCCCCCTCTGTGTAGGGCTAGGGAGATCCCCATAGACTGCCACTGATCAAGGTATGGAACCAAGGACAAGACTTCTGATGTGTAAATGCTGGGCTACTTCTAAGGCCTGCCCTACATCGTTTCTTTCCTCACTTCACTGCCCATTTTCCTAAACAACAACAACAACAAAGAACCTCATCTCTTTCTGCCCCTCATACACATAGGCTACTGCCTACCTAGCTACCTTAACATCCTCCCCTCAAGAGAAGTAACCTGTAATCTATGTGGGTAGCGTAAGTGAAGACTTGTCTGTTTTCTTCAAGCTGGCAAATGGGTGCAGAGCTGCTCACGGGCACTCTCTTGCTGGCTGTCCTGTGGTGTCTGAGGGTGGCATTGGAGAAGGTCGTCCTGTGTGGTTCAGAGTGCTGCTGTGTCATCCAGAGAGACAGGCTGGAAATGGTGCCTCACAACCATCTGGAGCTGGATGGCTTTGATTCTGTCAAAGACAGAATGAATGTGTGCATTAAAGAGAAGCAGTAAGAGTATGGGAGTTGTAGGGCCAAGGAGAGACAACAACTAGGATTCCCATGACCCGATACTAGCCAGAAATTCCAGCCCTGTTTGGTCTGATCCTGGAATTGTCTGGCTTCATCAAGGAATGAAGAATATGGTTTTGTACCTGTCTGGTTTGACCCCAGAACAACATTGTTTATGGAGCATGGCACAGATGTCTCCTTGGGCAGCAGTTAGCATGCCTGTGGCCTGCCTTTTTTGGAGGACTGGGTTTTGCAACTCAGTCACTAGGGCCCAGGAGCCTTAGTTATGGCAGACTGGGTGAAGGTTGCTTTGTTCTCCTTCCCAAAGGAGAGGACACTGTTCTGGCTTGTTCTTGAGAGCATGCTACAGGAAATTCTCTATTTCCTTGTACCTAGGGATCCGTGTTCAAGAAATGCCTGGAGCTGTCTTAAGATTGTAGGAATGGGAATTTGCTGCATGGCATCTAACCTCTAGGGGCCAGTCCAAGTTCCTCGGGGTGAGGACAAGCCCCAGTAGTTTAACTCCTGATGGACTAGCTGTGCTTTCTGCTCAGATGCCCGGTAGCCGTGACTTTCTAGGAAGTTAAGGGTGTTAGTGAAGTGCCCAAGACCAGAGTTGGGGGGGGGGCACAGGTGAGCAAGTTGTCTACCTGCTGGATTATCTTCCTGCCCCTCAAGAGAGGCCTAGACCTGTAGATCTTCCTCTTCAGATGTGGGACTGGAGGAGGCGTTTCAAGGGAAGTGTGGCCCTCCGTAGGGAAGGCACTCCGTTGCCTCCCTTCCCCTGGGTGGACTGGGAGGAGAGTTGGCCTGAATAGGAGCTGAGTGGAGAATAGGTAGCTCAAGTGTCCCAGAGAAAAGTCTTCCCTGCAGTACCAGCAGTGGCCTGTGCCCTGTCCCCCACAATAGCGATTTTTTTCTTTGGGAGCCAAGCAGAAAAAATGGCTTCTTCAACTGAGGGCCAGCAGGTTCTGCGATTATGATCTGGGAGTCCTTTGACCCTTGGGGCAGCCTCACTTCCAGAGGCTAGCTTCTGTCATGGCAGCTCTTGCCCAATCCCCTGGCTTCCCACATTGAACACAGGTGCTGTTTGAGGGTGAACGGGTCTTGTAGGTCTCCTGACAGCAGGTGTCTGCCTAAGGCAGCTGTAACTGGACCCTCCGCCTGGCCTTATGTTGCTCCTTCAGACCAGCTTGATCTTCCTCTTCCTCGTCTTTGCCAAGTGGGCCAGAAAGGCAGCCTTGGCCATGTCAGCCAAAGGGATGCTCTGTTCCATCCCTAATTTTTGAAACTTTCTTCTAATACCTAGGGTGGCCTGAATTAGAAAACTGTAGTCATGGGCATGTTTTGACATGTTTTTATTTTTCCCTGTGAGTTAAGACAGGAGGAGAGTTATGTCCTTCCAAGAGAGACTAACCATGTTAGTCACCTTGCACCATCTGTCTGTCCACTTACTAGGGTTCTCTTTAAATCTTCAAAGTGTCCCTTTTATCTCAGTGAAATCCTGCCTTGTGTTTACTGTTTGGTCCCACTGTCTCCTGTAGGGGTACATTCCAGTGGCTCCTATACAGAGCTGAGGGCTGATTCTCCAAACGAGGGAGAGAGCTCCCTTGGGAACAGAGGCTAGAGCGCCATGTGAGTGATTATTGGGCGCTGCTCGGTGCTGTCAGTTCTTTTGACTTTGCATCACAGTTGTTACAAAGTTCCTAACTTTCTCTTAGCGCTGTAGAGGCCTATTCAGAAGGGACTTGTGTCCAGTTACCATGCCCACGGCAGAACAAATGCAGCTGTAAAACAGTATTCTAATTTAAAGTCCCATTTTCTGGCCAGGCTTCTTGGTCACTTAATTTATATTGTGGCCAGGTGGTGTTGCAAAAAGAAATTTGCTGTGTCAGCTTCAAAGCTGGAGTTAAACTGAGGCCAGTTTTTGAGAGTGCATCCTATTGGTGAGTCATGCGTTAGTGAGGGTTGGTTTTCCTTTGAAAGAGAACTAAGGAGAAGTCGTGGCTGACAGCTCCGCCATCAGAGGGCAGAGCAGGAGGCCCTGCTTCTGCCTCCCCACTTGGAAAGAACTTCACTCCCACCCTTTGGCTTCTGCTCTATCAACATGGAGCTCATGGGTTACGGCCATGGGTTTCTGGGCTTAACTAGTATTACTATGCAACTTGTAAATCATGCTCAGCTTCAAGACTTTCCCCACGTAACTGTCTCCAGCCATCTCCGAGTCTTTTTTGCAGCCTTCCTGTCGCCTGCCTGAGCCCTCGTCAGTGCCCCTTTGAAGAATCTGGCCCGCATGCCAAGCCTAGCGGCTGGGGCAAGGCAAAATTGCGTTAAGCGACCCCACCCCACCCCACCCTGCTCTAAAGATTTATTTGAACATCAGAGTTAGAGAGAGAGAGAGATCTTCTGTCCACTGGTTCTCTCCTCAGATGTCTGCAACAGCCGCAGCTGGACCAGGCCAAAGCCAGGAGCTTCCTCCAGGCCTTGCATGTGGGTGGCAGGGCCTGAACACTTGGGTTATCATCACTGCTTTTCCCAGGCCATTAGCAGGGAGCTGGATGGGAAGTGCAAGAGCTGGGACTCAAATGAGTGCTGTATGGGATGCCGTGGTCACAGGTGGTGGCTTTACGCCCTTTACGTGGTACCACTGCTTAGCCTTTTCCCCCCTTCTCTTTAGAGAGTTTTGGCCTGAAAGATGTGCACATTTGTCTCTGCATGCCTGCCAGGCAGCTCCCTGTCTGTGATGTGGGTTTCCAGCCCAGGGGTATATTCCCCTTTGGTGCATCTCTGGACCCCTAAGTAGATGATGACCTCCTGTCCCCCACCACAGCCCTGGTTAGGGGGTTGACTCCTAGTTGCAGGACTTGATAGGTACTGGAGAAGAGGGGTGTTAAGCAAAGAGGGAGGTGCAGGGAGAGGGCAGCCAGCTCCTTCCCAGCCTGGCGTGATCAGATGCTGGTGACAAGGGGGAGACCATACATCCCTGTCACCCTCTGCGGCATGCTGGTAGGAAGCCGTGGTGGATGGGACTACTCTAGAACTGCTTCCTGTTGACTTACGTATATAGTAAGCCCAAGTCTGTCATCATTTTATAACCTTGCATTTTATACCATCTGTATTAACTTAAATAGCTATTGTTTCATCACATTGA